CAATAGTTTTGAAAGGTAGAATATGCAGAGCTCTTCAAAAATTATACAAAGTACCAGCAGAGTTAAAATGTAAGAAGGATGTGAACAGAGGTACTATCACATGAAGATTATGTATTGCAATAGCAGGATACTGTGTTTTTGAACATCAGATTGAAAAGGGTGAAGGACAACATTATCTATGGCCAAGGCGGAGACTGGGTTTAGATGGATTGTATCATCCACTGCTGGTCACTCGGTGAGTGAGGACAGCAGGCTGGATAGCATTTTAGCAATAAGTATCATGAGGCTTAAACTCCTACATTTGGCCCTTTACCTCTAACTTCTGGGCTTCTGCACAAAAGAAACATCCCAGATGTAATAGAATTTATGGCTGAGGATTATCACTACAGCACTATTTATGATGGTGAAGAAAAAAAAACCTTAATGGTCAGCAGTAGCGGAATGGTAAATAAATTACCTCATTCATATTATAATAAAAATCAGCCAACCATTTCAAGTCATGTTTTCAAAGGATTTTAATGATGCGGGGAAATGCTTTCCATGTAATGTTCAATGAAAAACAAATTAAAATTCTAAATTCTATATGAACTCAAAAAACCCGACAGAGAAGCTATTAGGAGGAGTTACTATAAAAATAAAAGTGGCTTTCCCTGGGTGTCAGAATTACTAGTGATTTAAATGTGTTCCTTTGTAATTTTATTCCCCAAAAGTTCTCCAGAGAGTGTATGTACCTTTTATGGAAAGGAAAAAAGTAAACATTGAAAAAGTGAAAGCGTGATATGTCATTTGCCAAAATAACTTTTATAGCCACCTGGGACAACACCTTGTCACTTGGTCCTTATCCAGAATAATGTGAGGCCTAACTCTGCCACTCATTCAGGTGGCTTTCTGTTTGGTTTTTATATTGTTACCCTTGAGTTCTCTTAAAATGATTGATTTGGTGCATTTAAATTGATGTCTTATTTTACAGTCCCTGGTTACCTTTTTATAGTGTCCAGTTAGAAGAGAGTTGAATCACTGAGGAGTCATAAAAATTTTAGCAAACTTTTTCCCCCCTTTAATGGTGTCAGATAAGCCATTGATACTTAATATGAATAACATTCATGGAATTTTTTTCCTTTACAGAAAAATATTTTTTCTGATTACATTTGAGGTGGAATGATTTTCTTGATATTATAGTTGAATGAAACAAGAACATTATCTTAATATGATGCACATAATTGAGCTTCTGAGGTTGCTTCTTTGAAATTATATTGATACAAAAAGGCAGTATGTTCAATAAAAACCTACTACTTTAGGAAGTTTGCTATGAAAGATTTGTGGGGAGTATTATTGGGAAACTGAAGTTTCTTAGATTCAAAAATTCCTATTTCTTTATAACTAGCTTGCTATTATTAAATTACAACTTTTAAAATAGACAAGAATTGATGGTTATTTAGGACATGCTCCAAATTCAACTATAGTAAACTCTGGCTTACCCATGCAGTGGTCTAACTGTGTGCTGTCTAATAGGCAGCTACTATCCATATAGGCCTTCTAAATTTAAATGAATTAAAATTAAAATTGAGGTCCCCATTCCCACTATCTACATTCCAAGGGCTCAGTAGCCATGAATGGCTAGTGGTTACCTGATTGGACTGTGCAGGTATGGAGAGTTCTATTGGACCTTGCTGGTCTAGAGATAATTCAAAAGAGATAATAAGCCCCCAATAATTTCTGATTTGTTTTAGAATTATCTAATGAGGGTACTTTCTCACACATTTCCTTCTTAACAAGGCTTTGTCTAGCCTATGCTAAAATAGTTTTCTTTGAATACTCCCCAAATGATAGGATGCAGGTGCTTATTGTATTTAGTTAGATAAACAGTAATTTGAATGCAGAAAATATGCAATTAATACTAAAAAGCCTTGATAGATTTTAGCTTTGAAAAGGGCCATTGATTGCATATAAGTAAGCCTTCTCAATTAACTAATGAGAAGTTTGAGGGACAGAGAGCTTAAGTAATTTGCCTAAGTCACACAGCAAGTGGCCTTGTTACTCGTTATTCTCCAAGTTCACTGTTCTCACTGGGCCAAGGCCACTTTTTAAAGATGGTCCAGTACTATGGTTCTGTTGTTCAACAACTTTAGAGACAAGAGGAGCCAATTATTGTGAATTAACTTTACACAAGGCCACGAAGTGTATTGTACAAAACAGGAAATGACCCTTTAAAAACCCAGTATTCTGAGTCTTCTTTTCTTGTCTTTGGAAAAAAAAAATGCAGCTTTCATGAGTAGACACTTTTACCCTCAGTCTTGAAGTTATATGTATTTTAAAAATCAAAAGGGAATGTGCTTCCTTTTAAAAATAGCCTTTTTGGGGGAGAAAGGTTAGGTAGGTACTGTAGTTAGGAAGAGGATTTGCCTTTTAAAATCCTGTTTTTATTTGTAAAGCTTATGGGTCACTTGTAACCAGTAAGATTTGCTCCCTCCCCAATTCCATTGAAAGTAAGTTTCTGTGAAATGGATTGTTTTTCTTACATTAAATATATTTTCTCCCAGAATTATTTACTGCCATAAACACTGCATAGGTTCTATTAGTTGTTGGGAGCTAGCTATGGCAAGTGATTTATTCTAGGAACTGACCACCTACTTTGAAATGATTGCATTTTGTTAATATTGGGAGGTTGTTGGGTTGTTTCCACTGTTTTCTGTGGATTGCACTTTTCAGATAGGTAATGATCTGTTTCCTTTTTTTTTACTTTTACTGGCCTAGTCTAGACCTTCATCTGCATGTTGTCCTTAGTCTCTGCTTCCATTCGGTCATTCGGTCTTGCCCCTGTGTGTTGCCTCTCTTGCATACAGCTACCAGAGGGATTTTTCTGGAACAAATCTGTTCATTTCACTTCATGGAATGAAAGCCTGCAGAATGAAATTAGGGTAAGGTCCTTGCTTTGGCAAACCATTCTCTTCTGGGTTCTGCCTGCCTCCCTATTTGCATCCTCAAGTCTTTGTTCAAATATCACTTTCTTAGGTGTTACCTGGCCACCATCTAAATGATCATAACCCTCTGCCTTGCTAATCTGCATTTTCTTTCCACCTTTAGTTTTTCCTACAGCACTTATTGCCTTCTAATGTATTATATAATTTACCAATTTTCTGATTTATTGGCACTTTCCCCAGTTAGGATGTACTCTCTCAGTGCAGTGTATTATATTTTGTTTGTGCTGAGTGTTCCGCCTTTGATCCATTTTCTTCAGTTGTCTATCTTTCTCCCCTCCAAGTTCTTGGTAATTCCTGGATTACCCCGAGGAGAGCAGTGGAAACCAGTTTTCCAGAGTGTGCCACCTTGTTCCTTTCTTTGTCCGGGCCATCTTGTGGCCCCTGGGGTCAGCAGATGTTGTATCCCTGCCTCAGTGATGGAGTGATCTGTAGACTCACAATCACACTTCTTGTCGTGGGGCAAGGTGTGGGTTTTACTGTTATGATATCCCCATGAGTAGTCTCTCAGTGGATGCTTTGTTGGTTGTTCGGTGTTTGGTTGGATGGCCACTCGCTCATCATCAAGTAGTTTCTCTGCAGGTTGCATCAGCGATTGTTCCTTAGGTACTAGTGGCAGTTGTGATAAACTGGTGGGTGCTGCTTTCCACGGAAATCCTGGCATGGGACATGAGCTTTGCAGCCGCCCTGGCGGCCTCTCCCACTTTTGTGTGTAGCCCCATGCAGAGGAAATCTCCAAAAGCAAAGCTGTCCACAAATTTGTGTCTGTACCATAACAGGAATGGTGAAGAAATGCTCTTAGGAGTATGCAGTTCTGCTCGTTAATATGGGGGTTACTGTGGCGGACTGATACTCTTGGGGTAAAATTAGCCAGCCTCAATATTCGAATGCCTGGTTTGCCAGTATCCTCTATTTTAAATAGTTTTAGAACCTGTTTGTCCATTAAATTGGTTCCTATTATTATTTGTCGTTTCCATTAAAGAGTTCAGAAACTAAGCTTATCAAACGATTCATTAGTGATAGGAGATAACCTTGAATTATTAAAAAAAAAATCCCAGTTTATATTTAAGCTTAAATCATTCCTTTAATTTTGACAAGACCTCAAAATGTTTTTCAGGAAAGTAATCTGAAGAGCAGCAAAATGTCCTGTGTGTGTATGTGTGTGCGTGTGTTTTAAGAAGGGCATGATATTCTTAAAAGATACTTTGCCAGTATGTGACAAAATATTCTGTTTATGTAGCTATCGATGCACTATTCTTTTCCTTTGTATATCTTTGCCTTTTGCTGATAGGAACTTTTATCTACATGTGAAATAAAAGCGAACATTGAATAAATGAAAGATTAAAAAAATCCCACATATGACTGTGTCTAACCTCCAATGCTATAAATGGCTGACCCTTAGTAATGACTGCGCCTGGGTGTTTTATGGGATGTGACATATTGAACTGGATTATAGGATTCTGTGACCATTGAACATAATTTTACTTGTTTTACCACCAGTCATGTCAGAATGCAAGTGTGGAATAGTCATGCTATTATAGCAAAGGTCTGGTTGGTCACAAGGCTCATATTTGCAAATGTTGATACCTTAACTGGTTTCGGGAACCGTTGCCTGGGAGATACTGTACATCTTATCTCTGTGGGGATGCTGAGGCTGAGGCAGGCTTGGTGCTTCACAGCATTGAGTGAGAGAGGAGGAAGCAGTTGGGAGATGGAGTGTCTTGCCAACATTACCAGGGTAGATTAGTTATTGAAACTGATTTTATTTGTTGATGAAAAATGTGTCCATTTTAGTGTTGATCATGACTGGTAGAAAATTGATGGTTTTGCTCAGCTGTGAACTTTGTTGTTGACCTTGTGTAGCTATGTACTCTTTAGTCTTGATTCTTGGCATTTTCTATTATTATTACATTGCATCCTGCACGTTATAATGAAGTAGTTGCAACCCTGATAGGACGCTGTTATTTTTGGAGAGTTTAAAATAAGTGAATCTAATTTTTTTTCTTTGTTGGTTGCCCTTAGGTAATTCTTCCTGCAGGATGAATTAAGAGAAGATCCTTTTTCTTTAGGAATGGAGAGCAGTTTGTCAGTTACCAACATGCCAGACCCTTCATCTTCTCCATTGGAGAAACACTCGAGCTCAGCAAATGGTAATGGAGATCTTGATTCAGGTACGATTTTGTTTTCTAGATCCATTTGACCTTTTGATGTATTGACCAATATCTTTCTGAAAATGTTCAGGAAACAATGGGGCATCTTTTCTAGATCTCGAATGCTGCTTCTTCCTAGGATTTGCTATCATATTTATAAGCATATAGCCGCTTGAAAGTTTGGCAAAATTTGGTTCAAAATTAATATTACCTGTATGTAAGACAGAGCGGGCTAGGTGATATCACTTCAAAAATCTTAGTGGCTTACCACATAAATGTTTATAATTGTTCACACTGTGTAGTTCAGGCAGCGTCGGTGGGCGCTCCGTTCCACTGCGTCTGTCCACAGCACCATACAGTGCCACACCTCAGCGGCTGCTTCAGGCCTGTCGTTACACGGGAAGGAGAGCCGCAAGGTCTTGAATCAGTAATTAAATGCTCAAGCTCAGAAGAGACAGGTACTGTTTTTGCTCAGAACCTCTTTTTTCAATTTTATTTTGAAATCACTGTTCACATATAATATTATTTTGTGTTAGTTTTAGGTGTATAGCACAGAGGTTGGACAGTCATATACTTTACAAAGTGCTTCCCCTCCATCTGGCACCTTACATAGTTAAATATTATTGACTGTATTTCCTATGCTGTACTTTATACTCCTGTGACTATTTTGTAACTACCGATTAGTAGTTCTTAATTCCTTCACCTTTCACCCAGCTCCCACCCCCCATCCCCTGCATTCCCCACCCCATGCTCAAAAATTCTTGACCCAAACAAATCTAGGGAGGTGGGGAAATTGAATTCCCCGGCATGTGCCCAGAAAGAGAGGACAGCAAAATATGCCCAAACAGATGCCACTTTCCAAGACTCTCTCTAAAACCTCCAGTACAGCTTTCATAAAGGTGTATAATGTGAAAATTTAAGTCATGTGAATTTGTGGTAAAGTGTTTCTACTTTTAAGAAATCACAAAGCAAACAAAATCAAACCAGTCTTTGGTTGATTTTTGATATTTAAACAAACTTATGAAAGCATCTTTTTCTAAATATTTGCACAAGAAAGAATTTATTTTAAAAAGCCTTTTTTTTTTTTTTTTTTTTTTTAAAGGATCGTACTGTTGCACAACAGCAAATCAGATAAGGGCAGTTTAGCTCGCAGAATCATAAACCTTTCTATGGTGAATTCATGGATAGAAATGTTCATTAATTCAGTGGGAGATTTGACAATTGTCCAAAGGAGGTATCGAATTTGTTTTCACATTTTGATGAGCCTAGTCAATGACGGAATTACAGATTGCTTGATGTCATTGAATTTACCAGATTATGTTTCTTAAGTTATATCTTTACCTGGAAAAAATGTGGAACCCCTGCAATAATTGCCTGAACGATGTTAATATCTCTTTCAAAATCAGCTCATTTTCCCCTTTCAGCTATTCTTCTGTATAAAGTAAGAGTAAGAAAAGTTCTAAAAGCAGACTTGAATCTTTTTCTCCCAGTAGAAATATGGAAATTCTTTTTCTGAGAGAGCATAGTCCCATAGACTGAAAGTTCAGTCTAGTTATTCTACTTTCATTTAAATACAAATATACCTTTAAAAAGTCTTTGTTATATTTGCTGAGTGAGGTTATTTTTTTCACTTTTGGAGTCCCTGATTTTCACCATATTTTTTGTTGTACACACATCTGACGTCTATGACTGCATTACTTTCAATAGTATGTTTTCAAAACTGTCTAAACAGCAACTGTGTTGTTGATTTTTCATTTTCAGGCACCTGCAGTATATCTCTTTAGCTGAAGTAGAGTCTGAAATGTATTAATAATACGATGTCAGGAAAATTATTTGTACTGCATTTTCTTGTGGTTGACCCTGTGAATGGGGAGGCGTGAGCGCAGCACCCCATCCTTGGCTGGGCTGTGCCATGCCCAGCACCCATTGGCGTGCTCACGTCGTGGTTAGTTCTTGCTCTTGTGTGGTGGGAGGCCTGAATCATCTGAGAGGTTAAGATCTTTAATAGAGCTAACAGTTCTAATAGCTCTAAATGATCTTAACATTTTTCAGATATTGGCCCTGACTTTCCCCCCACCTCCATATGGCTAATCTGTTCATTCTCCTTTGAATTTCCATGTATGTTGTACTTGTGTGGTGAGAGTACTTTTAGATGGTGCCACAAAGACAGACTTTCCTAAAGAGGAAACCAATTTAAATCAGGATCTAAAGCCTTCTGGGCAGAGGCTGACTTTTAGAAACTCAGATCTAGTTTTGAACATTCAGACTGTTAAGAACATGCTCAAGTAGCAGTTGTCAAGTAGTTTATTTTCCCGAGTAGTTCCCGTTTCACCTGCTAATATACAAAATGTCTTCTGTCTGCCATCAGCTGCGTGGCTGTTTGGTTCTGGACCAATTGTGCCATGTTTAGGGTTGGATGGTGTCTTGGTCTTTTTCCTGGAAGTGTGCAGGTGAGATGTCCATGTCAGATGAGCAGGAGAAGACAAACTGAGCCTTCTTCACCTGCTAATACATTGCCTCTCAAATGAGGGACAATAGCTACATGACCCTGTGCTCATGGCAGGCACTCGTAGGTACCTTCATGTGTTGTGTTGTTTAATTCTTCCACAACCAGGTGAAATAGCAAGTGAAATTGGACAAGAAGGTGGAGTCAGTTGGCTCTTGTATTCAAGCCAGGATTCTATCTCAGGCATCTGGAGGGCTTGGAACCTTGTGCTCTGAAACACTGAGCTGTGCCTGCCCTTCAGCACAGGGAGAGGTCATCCTGGATACATAAGTACATAAACATACACACACCATACACACCCCACACCCACTCACTTTATGAGACACAGCACCAACTCAGATTCTTTCTTGTCTTGTCCTTCACTTGTCTCCCATCCCCTCTGCCCATGTGTTATAAGGCACATGGCTGCATCTCCCTGACAACTGACCACATGTAAGTGCCTAGAGCTCTTCTTGGACCAAATCATGGCGCCAGAGGATGGAAGCTTCCCATGTTTTGATTCCTGTGTCTTTGGTTCCTCTGTCCCCACATTCAGCTGCTGCGATCCTTGCACCGATGATCCGCACCTCTGAAAAGAAAGCTTCTGCTTAAAACAAGGACTCTGAGTCTCGTGAACAGTTTTCTCATGTCCCTAGTTTTGCCTCTTTTCCTATGGGGAGCTCAGATACTTGGGGCCTATAAATGATACCTGTGTCCCATGGATGAAATAGGCACAATGTAAAATGCCTCCTCCTCCCAGGATCCCACTGGGATGAGCGGGGACAGAGGAACTGAAGGCCTTTCCAGCAGATGAAATGTAAACACACAGACGTGGACTAAAACTGGATTTCTGCAACTCTGGGCTTCCCCAGTTGTCTTGATAAAAGCAAGCAAAACATTATACTGACATAGTAATGGATAGATTCTTGGACATAAGTTTCCCAGGATGGCTAAATGTAATTTCCTAATGAAGTCTGTAGGTAAAACAGTGTTGCATATTTACATTGTGCAATCCTCAGTGAAAAGAATTATTCTGGAAACATGGGCTTGATATTTTTGTCAGGACGGTATTAGGATATATTAACTGGAGTGCCACAGGCTCTTGTATTCAGGAAGGAAATGAATCAACATTGTTACTAGAGAAATTGGGATCTCTGACTCTTCATGCTGAGAAGGACCTAGTTTTATGTGACTCTGTTGTATTCTATTTTTAAAATACTCTCCTTTAGATAGTTGCTGCCTCCCTTAGCTAGGAGATTGGGTCATTTTCTTTCTTGAAAGACTCTCTGGAAGCCTGGGTAGCTGAGATAGTCCTGAGGACCTCTGTGCCCAAGTGACTGTCCCTCCTCCCTGGTGTAGCCCTGAAGCTGTGAACTCAGATCTGGGATCAACATTGGCCAGTCTTATCTGACTTTCATTCCAGCGGGGTGTCTGTTTAATATATGCACAATGCAGCTCTTTTCTAGACTGGAGGATGGTATGGATGGACTATCAGCAGTTAAAGTAACAACGATTTACATTTTTCCTTTCTCTGTCAACATTAAAAAAATTATCTAGCACACAGGAAGTTGCTCTGTAAGACTTTGTTCCTTTCGAACCTGCCAATTCTCCATGTTTTTAAAATTGGGTACTGATTCCAGGCTTTAATATTCAGGCTTGCAAAGTTAGACTTATTTCATATTGAAAAATTGTACAACCCAAGATTTGATTACTTAAAAAAGGTGTATGAACCATTTGTTCATTCCATTTTTCACTGTTAAGTAACTTACACTCCCAACTTTCAGTAAGATAGTCTTTTTCTACTTACTGTGAAGTATTTTGGTCACATAAGTAGCTTTCTGTTTTCTAAAACTGGAGTGCGACTAATGAATGAGCCTGTTTTCTTTTAAATTGTGAAATTTTCTAGTAGCTTTTCATAGTCTACTTTCATGACATCATGGGGCAATGCCTCCGACTGGTTCCTTTGCAGCGGAGGAAGATTGTCAGAGTTTCCTTGATAAAATGTTTATGGGTTTAAGAGGTTTATGAATCAGCAGTAAATATTTGCTCTGGGTTTATGAGACCTCCACTCATAAACATCGTGTGTGTTTATCTATTGCTCATTGAAATGTCTTTAGAAAATCAGCTGCTTAGGGCACATGCTGCGGAGGAAGTGTTAATAAATTACAGATTTGAAAAGGCTGTATTGTGAGGAACCCTACATTTTGCATCAGATTTTATTGTTGAAACAGCATACTTCAAGTTAGCAGCTGCTGGGCTTAAAGGTTTTCAAATGTTTTTAATCCCATTCTAGCTCAGACTTTTGGGGTGCTTATTAAAGTATTTCTTCAGACAGCAGGGACTAACAGCTTTCTTAGCGCTGTACTTAGTGACACACACTTGGGAGTCGGTGGTACCCTTTCCTCTCTTGGTTAACTTGAACGAATCAATGAATGAATACTCGAGTGAGCATGAAAGCGTCTATTGACCATTGTATCAGAGGAAGAGATTGGAAACTTGGCTTATCATGGATTAAAATTTGGTGCAAACAGAAATTTTGGTTAAATGCTGATAACCTGGATTAGAATTTTTTGAACGATAAAGAGCTGCAAGGAATGGTCTCAGGTGAAGTTGAGAAAGTGAGGCTGTGGTCTTACTCTCAGCTGTATCTCTCCCAACACTCTGCTTTACCCGGGGACTCAATGCCCTTTTATCAGAAATGTGTTCCCTGAAAAAAGCAAGCGGGTCCTGCAGCCTCCAGCTCACAAGGGTGGTGGTGGTTTCCAGCCACCAAGACACAGTAAGGCAGACATGAAGAGAAACCAGTCACATTCTGGAAGACACATCTGGGTGTTGCCCAGCAGCTCTGTCCGCAATTCTTTTGCTTCAAACAGCACTGGACGTTGATTACCAAGTTTGTTTTTTGATCTACTAGCCAGAGGCATCACAGTGGTCCTGTTTATTTGTCCAGGTGACCTGGCGCAGTGTCTGTTGGAAGTTTTTTATTTTCTTGGACATTTGATTGTAAACCACTTGATGGAAGTAAAGTTTGAGGAGATAGTTTTAAGCAACTTGGATTTAGAAGACAAAATTGAGGATAACTGCCTTTCAACTTAGTATCTTCCAACTTTACAAAAATTATTTTTTCTATCATTTTCATTTTCTGAGATGATGCAGAATATCACAAGAAAATTACTTTTCCAACTTCTAATTTAAAAGTCTTTAATAGGAACAAATGGTGATAGCCTCTAAGAACAAGGCTTTCTTTCTTAGACCTTCCAGTTGCATATCTCCCTGGCCCACCTGCCAGTATTTATTCCTGGCAGTGAGGTAGCCTCTTGCCTAGTAGAAGATACATGGTTGAACATTATTGCAAGAAAAGAGAATCTAAACTTTTTAAGCTATTACTTACCTGCATGTTTGGACAGCCCTTACTGCTGTGTATTCTTAATGTACAATAGTCTTACAAATCAGTTAAGGTAATGTTTACAGCTGATTTTTTCTTTCCATTTGAAATTGTGACATAACATTTATGTTATCTGTACTGTACTTTTAAAAAGTCATTTGGTGTTTTTCAACTACAGAGATTATATCTTACATATACAGTCTTGAATGTTTGGGGAATTACTTGATTTCCTTCAGAACCAAAATAGGGATCATTTTAAGAGCCATGTGCACTTGATTGTATTTCTTTTCCATCCTTGTAATTGGAGAAGCTCATGTCCTGTTGGTTTCTACTGATGTGACTTGCTCGGAGAGTTCTGTCGTGGCAGAAGGCAGGACAGCAGACATTGGACTGGGTGGGCATTGGGGGATCTGTCTCACAGTTGGTCAGTTTCTGTCTCTAACTTGCCGAATGGCCTCACACACTTGAACAATCCTTCTGGGTCTCAATTTTTTCCCCTTGAAATGTCATCAGTGCTTTCTAAAGTTCCTTTTGGCACTAACAGTCTGTGCTATTATTGTAAAATCCCCAGCTGTAGTAAGTAGCCAGGCGACAAAGGTGCCAGTGCTCTATATACACATCACAGGGCTTACCTAACTCCCGATGGTTTTTTTCGCCTTGTCCTCCAGTCTCTCCAAAGAACGGAGTGTCCATACTGGTCAATTCCAGACTGATAAACTAACATGCAGCAAGTATGCCATGAGACAAACCTCATTTCATTTGCCTAAGAGCACTGAATAGTATCCTTGATTTTGCTAGGGAATCAAAGCAGAATTTCTTCAGTGTTTCCTCTCTTTAGTCTCTGGTCTCTAAAATCGGCAAAGTAAAGCTATGAAACAAATTTGCCACTGAATCTAAGGCCACTGAATTCGTTCGTTTCTTGAATTAAGGATATTCTGGTCTTCATCGGAGGCCGGTACCTTTCCATTCTTCACTCTAGTATTGATATTCTTGTGTTTTTGTTTCTCTGGTTTTGTTCTTTCACCAGAAGAAGGTTCAAGCTTGGAGGAAATCGGCTTCAATTGGGGGGAGTACTTGGAAGAAACGGGTGCCAGTGCGGCTCCTCACACGTCATTCAAACACGTACGTAAACTTCTCCTCCTTCTGGTCCCCCTTTGGAGCATGGGAAGGGAGCCTGTAGGAAGATGCCAAACCTATTGGAAGATAGGGAATGAGAAGAGAAGGGAAATTCAGCTAAGATTTTGTAGAAATAAAGAAGAGATGGGGAAGTTTGTTTGCTTTTCACAGATAGCTGCAGGTAAAGTAGACTTGGCTCTTACTGCTCTTCTCTCCTAGCACAGGGTGGGTGTTCAGTGGGTAAGAAATGGTGTGTAGAAATTCAGTGGGTAAGAAATTGCTCTGCACTTCAGAATGACAAATTTCACAGATGTGGCCCTTGAGCATGGCCTGAGATAGGTAAGATTGATTGGAATAAATAAGAGCCAGCCAGCTAGGTAAGTAGGTGTAATGTGTAATGTCTTCTTACGAGGTGTACTGGCTGTGTATTTTTATTATGGATTGATATTTTTATTTTGAAAGGACACATAAAAGTTTTATAGTCTTTTGTGGGCAGATGAGTCCAATTAGAAGAAATACCATAAATATTCAGAAAACATTTGGATCAAGCAAAACGAAACGTCATTCTTAACAATGATTTCTTTGAATAATGCAAACAGCAGAGTGCTGGTCCCAGAAAATAAAAAAAAAAATGAGCTTTTTTTCAGGTTTTTGCATCTACCTGAGATTTTGTTAGTAAGAAAAAGACTAAAGTTCCAGGACTTAAGGTTTTTGGCATTACTGTTGCTTTCCTGGAAAGAAAAATTTAATTCTGAGAAACATTTTTTTTTTTTTTTTACTGGGTTACCCAGGGCAAGATTCAGCCTGAGTGTCATTAAGAAATTGGGATATTTCCTCAACCTGTTCTTGTTTTTGGCTCTCTTGCTGAATTAGCATGCCAGAACTTTGATTCTTTATTTTAATGCAACATTTTATTGTTTTTGGAGATGGAGTGTTCTTTTGAAAAGGAATTTAAGGCCTTATTAAATTTGCATGACCTAGTAAAGGTCGAATATATTTCCAATCTTCTTTTTATTCTGACATTTGTAATGCTATAATTACTGGTTTATTATGAATGTGGCTTTGGCCATTTAGTGAAACCTAGGGGTAAATATTAAAACATGACAGAATTGCAGCTCACCTGGCATAGAGTGAGGTGCGATCCTGCAAAGTTTCCTGTGATTCCTGGATGTCTTGCTTACATCCCTTGAGGCAGTTTAGGAAAAAGATATTGATTGACAACTTTTTTCTTTTCTCTTTTACCAATAAATTACCACATGGAGTAACATATGATGGAGTAACTCTAGTTCTCTTTAATTCAGTTCTCCCACCTTCTTTTTAATCACAATAGCTCAGGAAGCAGAGTGACCCCAGGCCAGTGTGCCAAGTGTCAAGCAAAAGCATCATTGGCCCCATGAAGGAGCCATTTGTAATTCCATCATCTCTTAAGTGGCTGCTATTCCCGGACATCAGATGCTTTAACACTGGAATGTCCACCAGGCTGGAAAGCTTTCTTTTGGGCATAAAGGCTGGTAAATATGAACAGACTATAATCCTTCATTAATAAAAAGAAAATCCATCCATGGCTATACTGCTTACAAAGTTGCCATCAGCCACCTGGAGTTTTTGAGCCCGTGGAAAGACTGCCGTCCAAATTGGGATGTGCTGTAAGTGTAGAACGCACACTGGATTTCGGAAGCTTCATTGGAAAAGGAGAACGTAAAAGATTTCATTAATATATTTTATGTTGATCATATCTTGAAATGATGACACTCAGGATATTTGGGTTAAAGAAGATATATTATTAAAATTAATTGTATCTGTTTATCTCTTTTTTTTAACGTGGCTACTAGGAAATTCAGCATCACATTAGTGGCTTGCATTATATTTCTCTTAGTGCAGTTCTAGAGCAACAGGAACACTGTTTTTATGTGCTGTGTTTTTAAACAGTTCTCGTAATCTTCCAGATGTATGTGTCTAGTACAATAACGGGTTTCCTGTGTTTCTGGTTCCTTAAGGTTGAAATCAGCATTCAGAGCAACTTCCAGCCTGGGATGAAATTGGAAGTGGCCAATAAGAACAACCCAGACACGTACTGGGTGGCCACTGTTATCACTACCTGCGGGCAGCTGCTGCTTCTGCGCTACTGTGGTTACGGGGAGGACCGCCGGGCCGACTTCTGGTGTGATGTGGTGATAGCCGATCTGCACCCCGTAGGGTGGTGCACTCAGAACAACAAGGCCCTGATGCCCCCAGATGGTAAGCTCCGTGCTGGCCCACGGTTTGGAGACTTTGGATTTACAGACCATCCTTGTTCATGATGTTTGCACGGAAAACCTTGCAGCGATTTAGTGGGAAGGTCTAGCACCTTAAAAAGATTGTGTCCTCAGTTTCATTAGCTTAAGGGCGCTGGAGTGAGAGGAACTCAGGTACATTTTTGGATGTCCAAGCTTATCCTGACAACGGAACCGACCATGGCTTTTAGGAGGTAAAAGGTCTGGTGCTTGATTTTGGAGGTAGCAAAGGAGGCTGAGATTGAGGTCTCGTTTTCTGTTGCTGATTGATTATGTTGCTTTTCTTTTGCTTTAGAGACTTGACATTTTGTACAGTGCTGTAGGGCATCAGAAACGGGTCTCTCTTAAGGTTTAATCTGTCTTGTGGGGAGGCTGCCAAGGTGTGATGCCTGTAGAAAACTAAACAGATAAGGAGACCTGATATTACTCTTAAGGGAATTGTCAAAGTTGTATGGAAGAAATCCATTCAGTTGCTAGAAAACCATGGCAGTTTTACTCCCCAGGGCACATATGGTAACGTCTGGAAGGTTTTTGATTGTGAAAGGGAAAGGGGGGAGGAGCTCCTGGCATCTGGTGGGAGGATGCCAGGATACTGCTAAACATCTTGCAACACAGAGGACAGCTCCCCCAACAAAGAATTATTGGGCTCAAGCTGTCATCGTTGAGAAACCCTGTTACATCTGATCCTGTGAGTGAAAAAACTGAGTCACTAAGTATTCCAACCTCGACACCCTATCCTCTGTGTTTCATTATATGATGATGGCAGCAGTTCCACTTGAAGACTTTTGATGCTAATTCTCAAGTATGTGTAATGTCCTCTTAGCATCTGGCTGCCACTTTTAGCTTTGAATGGATATTTTTATTTCGAAGTGACATGTATAGTTTTAGAGCTGAAATCCAAAGTTCATTGTGTCCATGATACTCACAGTTGCTTTCACCGTTCAGAACATTTGAATTTTATCTTCTTTTTAAAGTTCTGATATATGGTTTTTCTGATAGTTTGGAATGGTCGATAGTTTTTTATCACCCTTTTTATGCATAATTGAGAGCCTGTTAAATAGTAGGGTCATAATAAATGCATGGAGTATGAGTTGCATTTATGGGACATGTGTAAGGATTGAATTCATTGCCTTGGCCTTAGCTAACATCTTGACCCTTAATATGTCAGAAGAGAGAAAGGCCCTTCTTTCTTTTCTGCTTGCTTTGGGTCTTTGCGCCTGCTCTCTCCTTCACCCCTTCCTCCTCCAGCTGGCAGCTTATTTGATCACTTCCTCAGGCACCTGCGGTCAAACCCTATCTTTGCTCACAGGGGCTTGTGTGCCCTTAATGTTGACCATGTTTGCAATTGTGCCCCCAGTTCACCGGATTGTACAACTCTTATCACTGTCTAATTCCAGAGCATTTCCATCACCACATAAATAAACCCTGTACCCATTCACAATCACTCTCCATTCTCCCCTCCCCCAAGCCCTGGCAGCAATCACTAGGTTACTTTCTCTTTCTGTAGACTTGTTTATTTGTTTCTCACACATGGAATCATATAGTATGTGGTTTTTGTGTTTGGTTTCTTTTACTCAGCATATTTTATTCAAAGACATCTGTGTTATAGCATGTATCAGGACTTTATTTCTTTTTATAACTGGGTTTTATTCCATCATATGGATAGGTCACATTTTGTTCATCCATTTCTCCATTGATGTCTGGGTGCACATGTACTTTGAATCGTGTGGTTCTTTGAATATTTGAAGAGAGGACTTATCCCCTCACCTGCCCCCACTTCCCCTCCCCGCCCTGGATTGGTTGTGTCTTTGTAGAAGTGTGAGTCTTTATTTATAAACTCTGTTGAAGGGTATTTTTCAGGTGAGTGCTGGAGAATGGTTGTTACTGTGTGAGGCTTTATTTTATTTATTTATTTATCCTCACCCGAAGGGATGTTTTTTATTGTTTTGAGAGAGAGACAGAGACAGAGAGACAGAGACATTGATGACATCGATGTGGAGAGGAGCATTGATTGGTTGCCTTCTCACATACATCCCGACCAGGGATCAAATCTGCCACCTGGATGTGTGCCCTGACTGGGAATGAAACCCACAACTTTTCAGTCTACGGGATGACACTTCAACCAACTGAGCCACACTGGTCAGAGCCATTAGGCTTTCTTTTTAACTTCTGTTTTAGTTCTGCAAGAACCAGTAGTTGGGTGAACACGATACCGTAATGCCTTTGGTAATACTCGTTTCTCTTAGTCCCAGGCCCAGCCTAAGTTGTGCCATAAGTGACATTTTAATTTATTTACGTTTACCCTTTTTATAATATTTTAAGTGTCTCATACATTATTGGTAAGTATAAGTAGACTGCTGTACTGCAGATCTCTAGAACTTTCTCATCCTGCATAACTGAAACTTTGTATCTATTGAACAAAACCTCCCCATGGTCACCACCATTCTGGTCTGTGCTTGTATGAGTTTGATGACTGTCTCAAATAAGTAGACTCATGCAGTATTTGTCCTTTTGTGACTGGTTTATTTCACTTAACATAATGTCCTCAAGGTTCATCCATGTGGTAACATGTGACAGGATTTCCTTTTTTTTTTAAAGGCTGAATAATATTTCTTTGGGCTTTGAATCAAAACAGCCACTGAGGTGAGAGGGTATAACATACAATTATCTAATTCGCCTATGATTTCTGATCTGTCTTACAGTAAACCAGTCTTAATGGATGAATTGTACTGATGGAATATTGTGAAAATAGCAGTTCTAGTTAGAAAATTAGAGTGCTTTTCATTTGCACAGCTCTACACACAAAGGCCACTTAGATACGCCCACACGTACCTGGGAGGGTACAGACAGACATGTGATATGGTAATTCTAGGGAGCAGATACACACCGGAGGACATCGTGAGGGGGCGCACAGAAGGAGACCGAGAAGTAGGCCCGGCTCCTGGCTGCAGCCTTGCGCTTCCCTGTCCTTGCTTACCTCATTCATGCATGACTCACTCTTAAAGTTTGACACCAGTAGCTAAATGCCCTTGGAAAGGATGTAAGATGGTTTCACTTTATAGATTATTTAGTGAACAGTTTTAGTGAGAAGTTCCAGGGTACTGAGTTTTAACACTGTTAAGAGCTATTAGGTTCACTTGGTAAAAATCCATGCTGTTGCTTGAGAAAGAGGACAAAGTTTGTTAATGAGCTCTCCTTTCTCACTGGGATGAAGAAGGTGGCCGCAGTCACAGTTTCAGAAACATTGTCAAATATGTATCCCATTGACTTCGTGCTATTAGGTACACAGACACATTAAAAATGACAAATTCAAAATGAAAACTGAGAAAACCCTATACAGAGGGAAACCGCTCATGTACCTGGAAGATTGGGAGCTCTTCACATGGTAACAAGTTATGCTAATTTTGAGAATGTCTTCATTGTTCATTTTAAGAACTTTAAAAAAATTTAGTAGGTAGTCAATAAGACTTGGAATTCTTCAGTGCAAAGAACAAAGTCAGGAAATAGCAGGTTCATGGGGCAAAAGGTTTTATTGATTGCTGTAGTACAGGATAATTATTGCTTTGTAGCCAGACAGCACTCGTTCCATTGGGAATTGTAGAATCTATTTTTGAACAAAGATTCTTGTTTTCTGTGGTTTTCTGTTTCAGAGAGCTAATATGATTGTAAATTCCGCAAATGTACATGGTTGATCTTTCTGGTGGTTAAACTTGAAAGGCATCATGGAATGTGAATACAAGTTAAAGCAATGCATGACATATAATGCTTTTGTTTGGGATGTTCCATGGTGGTAGAGAGATTTCTTACTGATCCTGGGAATCGGGGTTGGTGGGGGTTATGCAAAGGCAGGAGCCTTGAAGTTAGAGCCAGAATGTGGGGTTCTTCTCTTCCTCTGCCATTAATTTAGCTACATGGGTGAAGACCCATCAATTTTTGTGTCTTTGAAACAAGGAGGTTATAGTATGCTAGAATCTCTTAAGAGCTTTCCAGCCTGACGTGCCCTGGTTTTTGATCCTTGCCAAGGAAAGGAAGAGGAAGAAGGTGCTACTTTCCTATTGTATGCACTAGCAACGGAATTTGTTTTGGAACTGGGGTCTATGGAAATCCAGCCCAGGCATCTGTACGAAGGACAGAGGTAAAGTTCCTAGGTTACCGTTGGGGATGATGAAGTTTCAATGGATTGAAAGACAAACTATGTTGGGAAAGGTCCATCCTCACTGGCACTGGATGGAATTTTGCTCACTAAGGGCTGTGGATTCCAGGACCCCTACGGGACCTGGAAAACCCACAGTAATCTTACTTGAGTGAGAAAGATCAGTGTAAGTGGAATTGAGTTCATTGATGTGTGTATGGCAGCTTCAAAATATGGTTGTGTTAAGCAAGACAGTGGGAGCTTGGTGTGATTTGGACAGAAGGGAGAGGACTGCCCTGCATGGTCAGACTTTGATAATAGTTTTACCAAGCATGTAACTTTCTTTACAGTCCCATATTTTCCTTGCTTGCTCTTGTAAATGAACTTAATCTTTGAATTAATATAAACGGTCATTGTTACTTTAGATGTTATGAGAAGGAAACAGCATGGCAGCAGAATGCCGCTAGCAGGGATGTGTTTAGAGAGACCTGGGTTTAGTGGCCAACTGGTCCTTCCAAGAGCAGTATTCCTGCTCCTGAGCTAATTGGCATTAATCTTTCATATTAAAAGTATTAAGAAACATACTACATTAAAGCACCACTAAGTGCAGTAGAGGATTAGCTCTTATTAGAGTTGCAAAATGTAAAACGTTTTGGCTTAGTAAATCAATAAGGCTTGATTTATTCATAAGCACATGCAAAGCTCGCAAAGGGCAGCTGACAAATAGCCATTGTTTATGGTGATAATGTAAGAAAGTCATTTAATCCAGTGATTGTTGTGCTGCCATTTATTGAGAAGGAGCAGCAATACCTCTTGATGTGTGGGGTTGGGGA